AAGAAGCGATGGCTCGAGAAGTCAGAACGTATGAGGGCAATTCCCCTTCATGGAAATGATGAATCATCTCGTCGAAAAATCAAGGCAGTCGAGATCGTCGCTCGAGATGTGATCAAGAGAAGACGCGATGAGAAGAGATCCAAGACAGTCAAGAGTGGCGAGACTCCTAAGCAGAAAGAGACACCAAAGCGCAAGTCTCAGAACGATAAACCACAGAGTACTGTTCAGGATTCACAAATCACTGAGGCTCAACCAAGCATATATCAACAACAAGCACAAAGAGCGATAGAAGACACATCCGCCTTCACCATGTCAGAAAGGGGAGCCCCAGGGTCCAGTTCACCTACGGATCCGATGATGGACCAGCCCATGGACAGCAATGGGTATGAGCATGTGCATGAGCCAGTCACCTCACGTATGGCCTATACAACAACCGGACAGTCACCAGCACCACAACGGCCAGGACAGGTACAATTACCGGCTCTAGGCATGCCGGCTTCTCAGGGTGTCCTACCCCAGCCCCATAGAATGCTGGGCTCGTCCGCCACCAACACCGTCCCCATGGATACTCAGTACAGCTCATCAATGTACTTGGGGAATCAACCACAGGCAAACTATATGCAGCAGCAATACGTGCAGCACCAATTCTCAGCGTCGACACCAAGTACAATGTTCTCGCCTGTGCCTTCAGTGCCTGCAGTGCCGACTTCTTTCGCAGTTTTCATGCGATTGCACCCTTCGTCGACATATCCAGCCAATACCAGCCTGTGGATCTCTACAATGTCATCGCAATCAATCCAGGAGTTACGACAGGTCGCGGTAACTAAGTTTCCCGGGGCGATGTGTGTTCGTATCGAGGGTATCATTAAGGACCCCAAGGGCAACGAGTTACCTCTTCAGATACAAGGAGATGATGAGTTAGCGGCCTACTTTGACCACATGCAGAGTGGAACGCCGACTTTTTCTGTTCAACTTGTCCAACACGGCAACATATGATCACTTGGTGCACCTTGAATGCGAAGAGCTACCGTGGTAGGCATGATGATAACGATAACAAGAGAACGGGCGTACGGAGTTTCGGGATAATATACAGCATATGATTGGACAATTTTGACAGTTGTCTAGGCGTCGGGATGGAAGCACAGAGAGCGCGGACTTGGTCTCCGCGATATATTTTGGGGAATGCGGCTGAGACGTTCATTCATGACGGTGACCAATCTCCGAAGATCTGACGTCTCGGCTAAGGTATTTAGCATTATATGGATATGTAAAACCATTCACTGCTTCAAAACATACAATACAGGATAGAGACTTGATTCAAGGTTCATTGTAACAGGATTGGTAATACGTGATAGTGAAATTGGCCGAGGCCGGCGGTGACGTGCTTTGATGTGATAATTGCTCTTCAACCTGTCCCCTCTATAGTCAATATTGATCCTTGAAATCATATTGAGCATCCACTTTGGTCAGGTTTTAGCCATCAAGAGGTCCTATCTTACAAGATTGGGTGAGAAGCTCCGGGTCCGGCCGGTACGGATCGGTATTGAAGATATCAGAAGGCGGACATTACACAGCGCAATTGTTGAACTATACCGAGGAAACAATAACTAAAAAGGCAAGTATAAGAGTAAACATAATCACAACCAATGGGAATTACCAAAAGACCTCCATGCCGTAGCAGATCTAATCGCGGCTGATCTCAGGGCCCTGAAGATGCCCGAACAAGGCCCCGTGATGTGGGGTTCGGGAATTATAGTGCGGTATTCCAACTCCGTCCTAACAATTTTCCATTGCCGTAGACTTCAACACTTAAGCTCGACATCGACCTCTCCTCGTCGGCCAATTCCTATCCCCATACACTCCTATAGCTTCGATCACCTCCTCTACACCCGTTTACGACTTATATATCTTAATTTTTCCTGCGATTGACTTTCAACCTCCGCCCGCGCACAAGCTACATCGTCATGGCTTCTCTCCAATTGCGCGCTCAGCGTGCTGCTCTTCGGAGCTTGCGGACACCCACCACAGCTAGTTGCAGAGCTACGAGGTTACATGCATCCTTCTACCGCTCTTACGCTACCGAGATCGAGCCTGAGAGGTCGAATAAGAACACGCCCGCGCGACAGAGCAACGAGACAAAGGTGGGAAGGACGTTTCAAGGACAGGTTATGGGCAGTATTGGATCTCGATTAAGGCGTGAGCGGGAGCAGAGGGAGAAGTACGAGGAGTGGCGCAACATGACAGATCCTACACGGAACTGGATGGTGACATTTGGTACGTCCCATTACTCGCTTTCTAGAGTTGAGAACTAACAAATGATAGTCTTCCTCTCGGGCGTTGGTATTTCCTACTGGCTTGGTACATATTGGCCAAGAGACCCAGAACCTACGTCGACACTACCTCTCAACAAGTCCAAAGCTCCCAAGCACAACACGAAGCTCGAGAATATGCAGGCTGCCTGGGCCGACTTTGTCAAGATTGTCGGCCAAGACAATGTCAGCACCGCCGAGAACGACCTCGAACACCATGCTACATCTAGTTGGTCCTCTCATCAGGCTGGCCCCGAAGACCGCCCATTTTGTGTCGTCTACCCCTCAAGCACCGAGGAAGTGTCTGAGATTATGAAGGTTTGCCATAAGCGCAAGATTCCTGTTACAGGGTACAGCGGCGGTACCAGTCTCGAGGGTCACTTTACACCTACCCGCAAGGGCATCTCTATCGACTTTGGCCGTATGAACAAGATTATCAACCTTCACAAGGAGGATCTCGATGTTGTTGTCCAGCCTGCGATGGGCTGGGAAGCTCTAAATGACCACCTCGGCCACGAGGGTCTCTTCTTCCCTCCGGACCCTGGCCCTGGTGCTATGATTGGAGGCATGATTGGTACCGGATGCAGTGGCACCAATGCCTATCGCTATGGTACTATGCGCGAGTGGGTTCTTAGCTTGACTGTCGTTCTTGCTGACGGTACCGTCATTAAGACCCGGCAGCGACCTCGCAAGAGCTCTGCTGGCTACGATCTCACCAAGCTGTTCATTGGCTCTGAGGGTACCCTTGGCCTCGTGACTGAGGCTACTCTCAAGGTCACCGTCAAGCCTGAGTCTACCAGCGTCGCTGTCTGCAGCTTCCCCTCGATCCGCCATGCCGCTACTTGTGTGAGCAAGGTCGTGGCCCAGGGCATCCCCGTAGCTGCTGTCGAGATTCTCGACGATAACCAAATGAAGTGCATCAACGATGCGGGCATGACATCACGAGCATGGACAGAAGCGGCAACACTCTTTTTCAAGTTCGCCGGAACTCCCGCCGGTGTTAAGGAGCAGATTGCTCAAGTGCAAGGCCTCGCTAAGCAGGCTGGCAGCAAGACCTTTGAGTTTGCTAAGAGCCAAGAAGAGCAGGACGAGCTGTGGAGTGCACGAAAGGAGGCTCTCTGGAGCACCACAGCCGTCAAGAAGCCTGGTGACCACGTGTGGACAGGCGATGTTGCTGTGCCCATGAGCAAGCTACCAGATCTGATTGAGGAGACCAAGGAGGATATGGCAAAGAGTGGTCTGTTTGCTTCCATCGTGGGGCATGTTGGTGACGGCAACTTCCACACTATTCTGCTGTACAACGATGCCCAGCGTGCAAAGGCTGAGGCTGTGGTGCATCGCATGGTCAAGAAGGCTGTTGAGATGGAGGGTACTGTAACGGGCGAGCACGGCGTTGGTCTCGTCAAGCGGGATTATCTCCCCCATGAGCTTGGCGAGTCTACAGTTGACGCTATGCGACAGGTAAGAAATATTGCCCATATTTTGAAATGAGCAGTTTGCTAACAGTCAATGCAGATCAAGAAGGCTTTTGATCCCCTATGTTTGCTCAACTGTGACAAGGTTGTGCGGGTACAAAAACCCAAGAAGGGAGAGGTCGATGAGTGGTAAAGAGTTACGAAAGATGCATGAAATTGGAAAGGGACAAGCGGAAAAGGAGCATGATTATACCTGGCGTAGCGTGTACGATGTAGGAATAGATGGCTTCTACGACAGTCACAGAGACTCGTCTTTATAAGAGCTTGTGTATAAGACCAGTTTAACAGAAACCTTTACAATGTTCACTCCTCCGATCTATAACGATAGTGCATTATTAATTCTTTACAGTTGATTTACTTGTTAGTCACGGAATCCGCTTGGCAATGCAATTATCTTCTATTGCCTTTCAGTGCTAAAGGCCCTATGATTTTTGGCAACCAAACTTGCCCTTTATATAAAGCCCAATCTAATTTCTCTAGAACCTGCAAAGTTAGCTCAAGTCTATCTGACTTACGAGCTTATTGCAGTTAGCTCTTAGAGGATTTGAGCTGCCTACATAATTATGTTGCGAGCCAATCTTTATATCAGGCTGAATTCAGGCTTTTAAAGGCATTAAGAAAAGCTTTCTCCTCCCCCTATGGAGGCCGATCTCCCTCCAGATTCTATTATACATCTCCTGAATCATACATATCTCAGTTGATCCAGCGCAATAGATGGTCACATGTACAGCGGCGAAAACATATAACTTGACTACTACAACTATAGCCTGACTAACAGGGGCCTTTTATTATTAAAATAATGGAGGCTTTAGGTATAATTGAAGACACTATAAAAGGTCAACTGGTAAGATATAAAAAAAAACATGATTACAATGTGCCATTAAGGGCTTTATACTACGGAAGATCGATAAGGATCTCGTGATCTCGCCGTGTGATTCTATAAGGTTGCCATTGGCTTATTCCCTCTATGCTATAATGCAATATACTGGCTCACTGCCTCAAAGTCCGATCTTCCACCTCCTTGGTAGAGAGTTCGTTGGCCGTGTTTCCTTCAATTGATCATTAGCAGGAGTCTCGCCAACGTGTCACCCTAGGTAGATACACAACATACCGACCATTCTAGCATCTACCATGGCAAACCGAATTGCCCTCGTTGGTTATTCCCAGCTTGATTCTAAGCCTGGCTCGATCCCGGGCCTGGGTTCTGGCTCTGATTCTAAGTTGACCTACACCGGATAAGTATCGAATACACATAAATCGGAGGAAACATACGGGTGATGGTTGCTAGTCAGAGGCCCGATATTCCACTGCTGGAAGATCCGATCTAGCCGCGCTCTGAGCAGCTTGACGCGTTTCTCGCGAACGCTTTCGAGCGCATCTTTACTCTCGAGAATACCTCTGTTGACCTCATCGCTGAGAGTGTACAAAGCGTCGAGTTTGCGTTCGAGCTCGTTGATCAGCTCGCGGATGGCTTCTTTGTCGACTGGCTCAGCAGTGTTTTTCTTTTCTGTGGTCGACATTGCGATTTCTTGTTTGCGGACGTATAGGAGAGATATTTGTTGTTTGAGAAGGTATATAAATGGACGAGGGGGAGCGAAAGTGCAGAGAGTTGAGGTTGGCAGTGAATACCTAGGTAACTACAGTGCACTGAGTTATGTAGTTGTAGAAGCTTTTGCCTCTCTTGATGCACTTTCCCGCATTTCGTGCCCCATTCAACAAATGCATAAACAATGGCAATGTAGCAAAGAGCAATAAAAGAATAACGACGTGTCAATATGAATTCACAAGAAATCTAAGACCATATAGACAGAGGTATCGAAGCAAACAAAACTGAGCCATTATATCGACTCTTCCCAAACACCATAAACTCCCCAAACAAATTCCAGATGTGACGCCGTAGATCAAAACACTGTAACAGTGTTGACATGCCCATTCTTCAAAACCTCAAACACCAGCCCTGGGAATCCATACAAGGTCGTCGTGGAATCGCCATTTGTTTCTGCCCTTCTTGCGCCGCTCTCCTCCCATCCACCCAAAAACTCACAACTACTGCCTGGACTATCGCCCCAGCCACGATTAAGAACCATGCCGCGTTGTCTCTGCTGAGAGTCGTTTCGTGGGAATGCAGATGCCCATGCTGCATTCATACGGTCTTCTATTTGTGGGAAAGGTGTTTCTGAATCTGACGCTCCGTTGCCGTCATTTAGAGAGTCCAGGTAGGCAATTTCCCAGCGACAACGACGATGACGATTGAACTCGTATGAGCCAGGTATGTTTCCATGTAGAACCAGCTTTGTGGCTACCAATCGATCGGGAGAATGGGATATGATGCCGTTCTGACCCTCTGCTTCACTGATTTTGCTGCCAGGAGGGGCTTGTGATGGGGGTACGCGAGTCGATATTAATATGTCAAACCCGAGATAGAAGTAATTGTAGAAGCATTCGCCATTTGTGTTGAGACCAATCTGATCATCAACGGCTTCTTCATTTTCTGATGCATCAGACCCGTCGTGCATGGAAGACTGATCTGTATCGGTAAGATCTTCAGGTCGGCCAATATCCGCAGCATCTGGGCGACCTTTAGCGTTGCTTGCTGTTCGCATCTTATGAATGACCATTTTCTGGTCATTCTTGCGATAGATGGCATTCGGAGGCCCCAACTCCATGAGGAGGTCTTGAGGTGTCGTCTCGCCAAGGGTGATCCAGAAAGAGTTGCTGGTCCATTTTCTGAAAAGTTGAATCTTCCCAGCTCCATGTAATCGAACAAGCGAAATCTCGTCAGGATAGACATCTTTACTACGAGGTATCACGGTAGTTGATTTGATACTGGGTAGAATCTCGGTCCAAAGAGTTGGTCTAGCGTCGGCCCAGGAATCACCACTGAAGACAGCCATCGAGGTTGCGACTTGACTAGATGCCGATGCGAAAGTTGACACTACATCTTTCTCGGGGGAGTACTCGGAAGGGTTAAGTGAGAAGTTAAAGGCAACGCCGGGATAGGACAGAACGTAGATGCCATTATCGTGACCACTATATGGTGGAATAAATTCGCCGGCATACGTAGGGCCGAGCAGTTTATGATATATGTGTCGGAAAGTAGGTCCTGATGCCGAGTCGCCCGGTGTAGGAGATCCAGGGGCTCCAGCAGATGGTTTGACAAGATCTCGTTCTTTGAAGGTGATGTGATTCTTGGTGAAGTCGATAACTTCGATAAGACGCAAGCGTTGCTCGGGACCGTCAAATCTTAGTCGTATACCGTTTCCAGGCAGTTCAACGCCGACGGGTTCGGTGACAGGTCGGTCAGGGGAGTAAAGGAGCTCGATCTTCGGGAAGCGTTGGGGTTCGGCTTTGAGACGGGTAAGGACATCGTGAAGAGTTGCACCGAGGACTGAAAATACGTTAGTAGATGTTGTTAAGTCTTATGATGTTTTGCCATACCTAGGAAGCCCAGTGCTCGTCCAGGATAAAGCTGCGCGGTAAATAGTGACATGTTGATGGTGATGATATTGTAGATAGCTTATCGCGGAGCTATCCCTGGAGGGGTTGAGCTATGTAAGAGCTGAGCTCCTAGGAGAGCTTTGTAGTCTGTATGTTGCTGACCATGAATGAGACTTTTGCTAGAAGAAAGATTTGAAGAGCAAGGCTATGAAGAGGTATGTAATTAAATCAAGAGAAAATGGTCACGGTATCTGTTGTTGTTAGAGTCTTATCGAGTGAGGAGTGACAAAGATGCCATGTGATGCGATGCTATGACGCGGGGCACTAAAGGCACTAAAGGGAGGTGAGACTTAGTGCTTGCTAGTCAAGGATGACGTAAGGCAACCACATGGCCTTTATGCTATTCATCTTATGGACTTTGTTGTTTGATATAATCATTGGCTCAATTGGTTTAATATTCATCTTACTTGCCTAATCAGCGCCTTTGATCTATAATGAATACTCTGTCAGACGTGTAAATGCTTGTGTATTCATCATGCAAGGACTACTGGTCGCTGGATTGCTTGTCATGGCATTCAATTCAAATAAATGGACGAATAGATTGAGGTACGCTGCAGTTAGTATGATTGGTCTTTTCGTATCGAGAAATGGACAGCTCCATGCAAAAAGTAGATTGTTCCTGAATTATCTCGTCTCTCATGATCTTCCTATACGAGCCTCGGCAAATGGCATCTCATGCTCATGAACCTCGTGTGGGGCAGCCTAGGTTGGCGTTCTAAGGGTCGTAAACGGCAGATGCAGCCTAAGCTCAGGTTAGCTTAGGTGAGAGTTGAACCTCTTATTTATCTCCAGACCTGCTCTATTGGGACATAACTTTTGTTCTTGCTGTTGTTTCTGCCATTTATATAAACTTTACGGGTCTCCTTAACCCCCAGAATCTTCCCTCAGACTAACACAATCGCCCGGATCTTCCATCATGGCCCCGTCCGACTTTGCCGACTATCCCAAGCCTGTTGAGGCTCCAGCAGCTACATACAATCCCACAGTCGAGAACAATCCTACATTTAGAGGCATTCCTCTCGTAATTGGTGCTAACCTGTGAGTTCTATATCTTATGACTTGTAGCCTTAACAAAGCTAATTTCTTGCAGCATCGCCAAAGTTGGGTTCCTCCAGCAGTACTTCTGGGATAATGCCCACTTTGGCACAATCAAAGACATTCCTGCTCTTGATGATATCCCTTACAGGTTTCATGTATGCAAAGTCATTGTTTCATGCAGACGACACATAGCTAACACGCTAGCCCACCGTTACTCCCTTGGGCCCTGCGGAGCCTATGCTCGACTTTGAACCTCAGCTCCTCAAGTCTCAGTATGCAGAGTCAAAAGCACGATACTACACTGCTAGTGACTATCATGAGATGTACAAGTCGGGCCAAGTGACACCTATCCAAGTTGCTGAAGCTCTCCTCCCTCAGATCTCCAGACCAGATGGCAAGTATTCAGATGGCTGGGTTGACAACCACGGCAAAGACCATCTAGTCCTCGAGGCTGCCAAAGCTTCAACTGAACGTTATGCTGCTGGCAAGCCATTGGGTGTACTGGACGGTGTACCTATCGGTGTCAAGGATGATACTGATGTCGAGGGATTTCATAACCACATTGGTATGAAATATGAGCCCTCTATTGAGACCTTCAAGGAGCAGAAAGAATCTTCATGGCCAGTGAAGAAGCTCCAGGAAGCTGGTGCAGTAGTCATTGGCAAGAATGCTATGCATGAGCTTGGCTCTGGTGAGTCCACATACAACGTCTTTCTATTGCAATCACTGACCTTGTTCAGATACCAGTGGATGCAATGTAAGCACGAATCGTTTCGTATAAGACACCACTAACAAATGTAGGCTGCACAAGGAACACCCACCAATTGGCTCAACAAATCCTACTATCCTGGCGGTTCTTCCTCAGGAGGCTCATCCACAGTCTCAGCTGGCGTTGTCCCCATCGCCGTTGGCACCGACGCTGGAGGCAGTATCCGCATCCCTCCCACTTTCAATGGCGTCTATGGCCTCAAGACCACACATAATAGAACTATGTTCATGAACAACACCATGTGTATTACCGGTCCCATCGCCGCTACTGTCGCAGACTTGACCATTGCCTACCGCGTCATGGCCCAACCGAACCCGGACTGCCATATCCAAAGCCGCTTTGCTCGTTCTAACCCACCGCCAAAGGGTCAGAAGAAGGTCATGGGAATTTACCGTGACTGGTGGAACAAGGCTGATCCTCGTGTCAAAGAGGTCTGTGACAGGGCGGTTGAGTACCTCGCTAATAAGTGCGGTTACGAGATTATTGATATCACTATCCCTTACATTCCTGAGGCGCAGCTTGCGCACAGTGTTGTCTGTATCACTGAGATGGCCGAGTCAGCTCGCCGACGAACTCCCAATCCCGCCGACTGGCTCTCTCTCGTTGGACCTGCTAACAAGGTCGTCATGTCTGTCGGAACCAGGACTCCTGCAGCTGATATGCTCAAATACGGTGCTTTACGAGAGCTCGTCATGCAACATCTGGCCTACTTATTCCAGAAGCACCCTGGTCTTCTCATCATGACACCCACAAGTCCCTTGATCGGATGGCCTATTGTCCCTGGTGATCAAGCCTTTGGCATGAGTGATACCAACACGACCATTCGAAACATGCTCTACGTCTTTTTGGCCAACTTGACCGGTACACCTGCTGTGTCAGCTCCTGTTGGATACGTGGATCCGGATCAAGGTGAGGGTAAGCTCTCTATTGGCTTGATGGCTACAGGAGAATGGGGTAGCGAGGAGCAGCTCCTAGCTTGGGCAGCAGAGGCAGAAGAGTATTTGCACAATGCTACAGAGTCTGGCCGGCGCCGACCTGATGAGTGGTTGGATGTTGCGGATCTGATTAAGCAGAAGGCATAAATTCGTTGTTCCAAGATAGTGCTTTACTATTCTGCACTTAGTTTGCAAAAACGGAAATGGAATATGGGATCTTTTAATTGTTGTCTATCATGCAACGATCAAGGGGGTTTCTCGGCCCTCGTTTTCATTCATGACTGCATGCCGTAGCAACTATTGGGCTTATTTAGCCAGGAACTTAGAAGCAAGACCCATAAGACCGGAAGCGCCACCCTGCTGTCCACCAGCACCAGCCTGGTTCTTGAGGTACATCTTGAAAGCGACTTCACCAGCCTGCTGGATGACGCTCTCCTTGCTCGTGCCCTCGGATACCTTGCCTGATGCGGCCTTGTTGTCGAAGAGCTACAAATTCATATTAGACATTGACTTATACGTATACTGTACTTCAAAACAAACCTTGCTAGCCTCGGCCAAGGCAAGTCCTAGAAACGCAGTCTGACTGTTGGCACCAGTGCTGCTCTGGCCTTGACCCTGGGTGAACATCTTGAGGGCTTGCATAGCAGCAGCGGTGCCCAGACTCTTGCTGTCCTGCTGGGAATCGTCGTTGTTGTAGGTGTTCTTGTGCTGCTTGATGGCATCTAGTAGTCATATGTCGTCAGCATGTCTCTTGGCCCATTTAGACAGAAATTTGAAAGATCACTCACCCTCTTCATCAAGGTCCTCATCAGCAAGCTTGTTCTGCTTCTGTCCGAGAGATCCTAGAATGCTTCCAAAGAGGTCTTTGTCACCAGAAGATCCGGCCTTCTGATGGGCTTCCTCCTTGGCGTTGTCAAAGTCGACGTTTCCACCAAGGAAGCTGGAGAAGCCACCGCCGCCCTGAGACTCTGTATATCGTTAGATCCGCTCGCTCGGGAGGAGAATTGTGTTGGTGACTAACGGATGCCACCGGCGGGAGGGTACTGCTGTTGCTGCCCATACTGGCCCTCTTGTTGTCCGTAACCTTGCTGTTGGCCATAGCCTTGTTGCTGGCCATAGCCTTGGTTTTGGCCTCCGTAGCCCTGCTGCTGTCCGTGTCCTTGCTGCTGGTGTTCTAGAATGAAAACGAATTAGCTGAAGCCGTCTGGAGCCTGAATTATAGCTGAGATGCCGAGATTTATTGCATGATCGATAGCTGTTACTTCAGCCTCCCTCGACGATCTAAGGCCATATGGGTGGCATCATGGATTCATGGCGGGGTAATAAGAGCCATGAGGTACAACATGAGGATGGAGACATAACATACCCTGGCGCTTGTCCTTGTCGTCATCAAGATAGTCCTTGGCGGCGTTGATGAGCTTGTCCATGATGGCGATGTAGTTTGAGGGGATAGAAAATAGTGTTGTATTAAAAGTTGTTTAGTATCGAGAGGAAAATGCAAATGCGAGAGTGAAGTTAATGATGGAGGGGAATACGTTGAAATAGAGGGGTCCAAGTCTCAAGCACATTGAGTTAGAAAGCGAACGTCCGATCAGCCCAATTAAAGCTTCTCTTGCATGACCCTCTACCTAGTAGTACTGACCAGAGTGCATCACTGTTCGTTCTGTTTTATTATCCATCCAATACTTTCCTGCGATTGCCCTTGAGGTGTCTGACGTGGATACAAGCTACCCCCGTAATTATGGGGAGCTTGTTATGACCTACGCAATCCATTCGGACTTAGTGGGACTTGGAGCATTAGCTGTTGCTTATTTCAGCTGCCAGGGCCCTTAGGGAGCAAGAAAACTTCTGACTGGGAATCAAGGTGACAAAAAAGACTAGCCTAAAGGTCCACTAATTTATACAAAATTTACCTAAGTCTTTTTGTCACTTAGGATAGAAGTCAGAAGTTTTCTTGCCTCCCCCATTGATGGATCATAGTTTCAGCTGAACTGCGTGGTCACGTATGAACAAGACCCTGACTGACTGTATTGACCAACACTGAATAGCCCGAGGTATATGGTTTGTGTGTCATTGCATCTCTTAGTCACGACAGTCACTACAAAAAATGCGTCAATTCGTATACGCGGCGCATCAAGGGCGCGCACGTCAGCTATGTCTGCCCAAATGCTCCCTACACTCCAGGTATCTGTGTTGTAGTCCCAGTCGTGACAAATCAAATATCCAGTTCAATCGTGAGTTTGCAGAAGAAAGTAATCAAGTAAACAACCGGCTGTGAGCGTCTCGTGTATCCCGCTTTTCGCCATCCAAATCAGTAATTTCAGCCCAAACTCCGTCGTGCCCCGGGCACCGTGTCTCTAGTCGACTCGTCGTATATCGTGACAAACACTGCTACTTGCTGCCCTCTCGTTTCGGTCGGGCCATGCATCTTACAAGCCGGTAGATCGATGGCCTGTCAGAAGCCATTTCGTAGCCTTGTGGTCAGGACACAGATTGATCCACTGTCGGAGGATGGCTGGTGCTGGTTCTCTTCTTCTCCCTCTTGGCCCAACGCAAACCGCAGGCGTTGCATAATGTCTTGGGTCCTTGGGGTCCCTTTCTCCATTCTGGTGAGTCCAGTGTGCCTGGATTATGTCAGTATTGATGCATCAGGCCACTTACGTCAACAAAACCACTTACCACAGTCCGTACACACATATTCCTCAGAAGTCTTGAGCTTCTTCTTTTTATCGCCTGCTCGAGGGTCTCGCTCCATCGGAATTGCAATTCCTGCGTCACCCTTGATCAAGGTCGGGCTAGCATTACCAGTCGTAATGCCCCGGCTTCGTTCGCCCTCGATGTATCGCAATCCCGTCAACATCTCGATCGTGTCTGTGTGTGATGCCCCTTCGTAACGTGCCATCTTGTCCTTCAGCGAATCCTGTCGATCACCTGCAATTGAATCCTCGAGGTTCTCGCGTGTAAGAGCTTTATTGAGAGCTGCTCGATCGGCGTCTGTCATTACTCTTTCGCTACCCGGGCGGTAGAAGGTTCCTGAGGATACGCCGGTTCCTTCAGATGGTGTCATGTCTGACCGACCCTCTTGACTCTGCAGCCACTGCTTCTGCGCCTCATCGTTTTCGGCCTCCTCTTCACGACGAAGCTCGGCGATACGGCGCTTTAATCGTTCATTCTCGATCTTATGCTCAAGGAAAGAGTCTAAAAGTCCAGCGTTTTTGGTCGGATATGGTCGCGCCATCATGAATACGGCCTGGCAGAAGGGTGACTGATTATTTGGATTGGGGGCAAATTTGGCGCCAGCAATGTGAGCATGGCCGACAGTCTCAAAAATCGCATAGTCGGCGTCCTTCCTTTTGAAACGGTAAAAGAGTCGTAGCGGGTTGCCTGATGCGATGGATTCGTTAAGTTCTGCGACAAAAACACCTTGGTCGTCTGGGTGGATCAAGTCCTTCAGAAACACATCTTGAATCTCCTCCACACTGTATCCAGTGACCTGGAGAATACTAGGTGATGCGTACTTGATGCGACCGTTCGCATCGAGAATCTGTAAAAAGTCTCTGAGCTCTTCCACGACCTTGGCGGGCCAATTTCTTCGCTTGGTGAACTCAGTAAGGGTGCTGGCGCCAGCGAGATTCATCTGAGCAAACGCGCCAGCAGGGAGGGGCCCTGCACCAGGAACATTGTTGGCTGCCGTGTTGAATTGATTTTCAGCTCTCGCGACAGACTCTTCTGTAGTCGATTGCCCATTGCCGAAAGAGCCGCTCATGTTGGAGTCATCTGCAGATTCGAGGTTCATGGGAATATCTGTTATGCCACCGAGCATACTATTATCGAGCATGGCCATGAGATCGTTGTCCTGACCATCAGCGCCCATCTACAAAATCGGGTTAGCCGAAATGATCGAAGATCAAGGTTGCGTTGGCCTTGGCCGTAGGGGGGGCGCTATAGATAGGGCCGCAGCCCCGGCGTCGGCGTCGCGGGGAGGGGAGTGGTAATTGACCTGGCCACCCGTCATGTCGGGGAGAGAACCGATATCGAGGTTGAAACCGTACAAATTGTTGAAGTTGTTCGGATGAGGGGCGCCCTGGGGCGGAGGAGGAGGAGGTGGAGGTGGTCTGTGGGACATGGTTGCGGCGCATTCATGTGGCAGTCGAGTATTCGTCGCTGCATTAGTGAGAACCCGGAAAGGGCAATTTCAGTGGCCTTAGGCGTGGCCTTGGTGGTCACTTCAGTTCTCGACTCAGTGGATGCGACAACGGTAGCGATAAGAGCTGGGGATGGGTTGTCCAATTGGAGATATTGCTTCGATGGCTTGAGTACCATGAGAAATCCCCAAAAACGAAAATATATATCTGGGTGGTAATAAGATGTTTTAGGGTTGTATCGGCGATTTTTTCTTCTTCAATTTTGTTTTTGAGTATGATGAAGGCGACTTCTTGAGCTCAACATCTAACTCGAAACGTAGAACTGGATGTTGAGCTTCCCCTTCTCTATTGTCCACTGAGATAATGAACAGCGAGGAGCATCAAATGATCGACCAGGAACAAAGCGGTAAAGGAGTTTGAGGTAGCCCTGTTAGACGCCTATAAAATGTTAGAAACAACAACACAAGTTGAAAAATATCCAAGTTGACATGATGAATTCAAGTAAAGAGACAGCGCTGAAGGGGGCTTGAAATAGAACAAGGCATGGACAGAAATGTTGCACGGGCACGGGCACAGATTCGAGTTACCTGATTGACAGTGCTCAGATAGATGAGACGCCTGGTACAACAAGAAAGTCTCGGGCAGGTGTAAGAAGCAAGATTGTGAAAGGTTTTGGATGAACTTGCTGTGACGGGACAAGATGAGATGAGAAATCAGCAAACAGATATCCATCTGTCATGTCACCTACCTACACCAAAGTTTCTAGTAGCGTCTTTGCATAACAAAGAATGGCCCGCTTTCTGAGTCAAGGCGAAGCTCAGGACCGCTTTGTACGGTACAGATCGTTAGGTTCACAGCAAAGACATAGGTTGAGAGCGACTTTTAATTATTTCCCCTTGCTTGGGTCTGATGACAGGGCAGCAGCAGGCTTGTTGTGTGTGTGTGTCCATCAGAAATCAGTCCATAGACTCCCATGGCAAACTGGGCAGCTCAGCGGCGAGTGTGGCCACTGTTAAACATGGCACTTTTGCAGAATTGGATTCTTTCACACATGGGAATTTAGGGTGCCTTGGGCTAAACTGGGCATGAAACGTCACCTCTTGTGTCCGGGGCCCAATCTGCACTGCTCGGCAAGACTCCCTGTTCTTGTCTTTAGCCTCATCAGTAGTTGTCCAACAATTGAACCAATACAAGACAAGGGTCCCGGAGGTTATGCCCCGGGAAAAGCGGGCTGATAGCTCGTAGGAGTTACTCCGGCCGGGACTATTGGTTGCTGCATCGGCGTAGTCCGTTTTAGCGCACCCTTGGATCGCTTTAGCGGGATCCAGCGTAAAGGGTCCAGCGGCAGTAGCGCAAGCCAAGCGCCTAGGTAGGCCACCATCCACAGTGGCTGACCAAGATTTGTAGCATCTCATTCGAGGCTCGCAGGAGAAATATCGATTCTCGTTCGCATTCATGATGCCTGATTAGTTTGACGTTCAGGGGGATCATCGCGGGGCAGTTACGGGGATCTGTTGGAGAGATTCGTGATCGAGATATCGGGAAAGAAAAGGGCATCGAGGAACAAGAGATGCTCAAGGAGTGAAGCAAAAAAAATATAAAAAAAATGGCATGGCTTGTTCAAAACCACATAGTAGGCTGGCCGTCTGCACGTCTTGTTAGCCGATCCTCATAAGCAAATCCTTCCCAAATTTGTCGCCTCACCTAACATCTGCTGTTTTCTCTGTTTTTTTCATGCAAGGAAAACAGAGATATGTCACTGTTATGGCACAACTGCTGCCACCCACGAGTAAATGCTCTGCTGAACGGCTTGAATGTCTGCATCTCTTTGCTTCTCCAGCTCTCTAGACCCTTCGAGGCCCTTAGACCCTGGGGAAACGATCAAGCATTGCCACTCCAGCTGTAAGGGGGTTTTGGTCTACGCCGCACAAAACCAAAGCGGAGTGGCGCTGGGACTGGTGTGTTTGGGTGTGTTTTGACCCAAGGCCGTTGGTGGTCTTGGTTTTGGTGATCCCTGGAGACCTGCCACTTGGTGCTCTGCTGACGTCGAAAAGACGTAATCTTCCAGTCGATTTCATGAATTGATGAAACGTCACGAAATACTTGTCATGATAGAGCACAAAATGAAACAGTTTGGCCAGCCTCAAAACACTGTTGAAGTGTGTTGTTGACTTCAGACAGCTTTCCAAAACTGGTCATTTTTTGAGAAATGATTAGTGAACAGGCCATGCCGGCAGGCACGATGGGTAATACAGTTGATTGCACTTTCTTCTCTCCAGCATTTAAGTCGCGAGAACTCCGGGTAAATCTGGTCAAGCACGTGCTTACGCATTGACTGTTCCTGACTTTCGGAACCTCTCAACGCGTCTTTGTCTTTTAACGTCGCGTTATCTACCAATTTACCTTCAGCTGCCTGATCTACGCTAGCCAGCGACACTTGATGTCTCTATCCAAAGCCTCCACATTCTTGTGACTTGTGAACTGCAGCTTTCCCTTTTAGTCAATGATTTAATCTACGTAATCGTAGACACTACCATCACTACGTTCCCCTGATGTGGTAGTAGTCACCATGTCTAGAATCGACAAGCTTTCGATCTCGGGTGTGCGGTCCTTCAGCCCCTCAGTCCGTGAAGCTATCCAGTTCAATACGCCTCTGACCCTTATTGTCGGCTACAACGGATCGGGAAAGACAACAATCATTGAGTGTCTAAAATATGCCACGACCGGTGAGCTGCCGCCTAACAGCAAGGGCGGCGCTTTCATTCATGACCCAAAGGTGCTGACATGCACAGTTCTTCAACAAGCAGATTCTCATGCTAACATGCCGTAGCTTTGCGGCGAGAAGGAGGTTATGGCCCAGGTGAAGCTCCAGTTTCGATCGATCAATGACCGTCAACATGTCGCTACTCGAAGTTTACAACTTACCGTCAAGAAAACCACCCGCTCTCAGAAAACCCTCGACTGCTCCCTGGTTGTAGTCAACAATGGAGAGCGAACAACAACTTCTACTCGTCAAGCTCAGCTAGATGAGATGATCCCAGAGCGTCTTGGTGTTTCGCCTGCAATTCTTGATGCTGTCATATTCTGCCATCAAGACGAATCCCTTTGGCCATTGAGTGAGCCAGCTGCTTTGAAGAAACGCTTTGACGAAATATTTGAGGCCATGAAATATACAAAAGCCATCGACAACCTCAAGGTCCTCCGAAAGAAACAAGTCGAGCAGCTCGGCAAGCTTCAGAATGACGAGGCTCATAACAAGGTGAACAAGGATCGTGGTGACAGAGCCGAGAAGAGGATGAAGGCCTTGCAAGCCGAAATTGAGGGATCTCGAGAAACTTGCGAGTCAATCAGTTCTGAAATGGAGGAAACCCAAGACAAGATCCGAAACATTCGAGAAACGGCGAACAGCCATCTTGCAATTGTGCAGAACCTTAACACCAAGCGTGAGCAGCTTGAGTACAGAGAAGAGGCTGTCAAAGAACTGAAGGCTACTATCGAGGAACTGCCCGATGACGACGAAAAGCTCGAGGGTGACCTAGCACATTATGAAGACCGTATGCAACATCTTCAAGATGAGGCCGACCAGAACAAAACACAATATAATGAATTGCAAACCGAGTTAGGAAAATCACGAAAGGAACTTTCTGCCAAGCTTTCCGAACAGGGCAAACACCAATCGGACAAAGACAAGTACGAGCGTCAATTGAAGATACGCATGGAAACCATTCAGGAAGCCGCTCAGTCTTATGGCTTCTCGGGCTTTGACGGCGATCTTTCGGATCACCATGTGAGGTCCTTCAATGATAAACTTCAAAAACTTCTGGGCGAGAAGAAACGGGATCTGGAGCGCCTCCAGAAGGAAAACTCCGCTGAGCTCGACCGGGCCACTGGCGTCATCACTGAGCTTGAAGGCCGCAAAGCTGCTCGCACACAAGACCGTGTGTCCGCGAAACAACGAATGGGTGCTATTGAAAAACGCACTTTGATACTCCAGAACGAGTCAAGCCAGATAGACGTGGACGAGGGTGCTAAGGCTGTACTTGATGGGCAGATGCAAGACCTTGAAAGCAGATTTCAGACAGCCCAGAAAACCTTCGAGAACGCCGATTGGGACCGCCAAATCTCTGGCGAGAACGATAAATTGCATCAGCTCGAGAATGAGAACGATAAGCTAGGTCGGGAGCTTGTAGAATGTACCCGTCTAGCGTCTGAGCGAGCCCAGCTTGACTACAGGAAGAAGGAACTTGCTGACCGCAAGCGTAAACTTGATACCTTGACAAGCACCTGGAAGCCGAAGCTCGACAAGATTCTTGGCAGTGATTGGCAGCCGGAGACTCTCGATTCTAAGTTCCAGGCATTGGTTAAGGACCAGAGCAAGGTTGTCAGTGAGGCCCAGAAGCGTCGCGAACAAATCCGCCAAAAACAGCAGAAAGTGGAATTTAGGTTGAGAACTTCTAAGGAGTCACATGAGAAGAAATCCAAGGAGGCGGCGGCTTGTCAACAGCAGGTCATCAATGCTCTTCTTGCTGTTCGCGACAATGCTATTATCGAGGATTACAAAGAAGAAATCGAGGTCACTGAATCACAGGTGGAGGAGCTCAGGAATGACTTGAGTCTCTTCGACGCTCTCGTGGACTACTACACAAAATGCAAACGCTTGCTTGATACTAAACGCAAGTGCTTACTATGTGATCGTCATTTTGATGACAACCAAGCCGCAAGCATGGAGCGCTTGAGCAAGAGGATTGACAAGCACCTTGACCCCAAAGGCAAAGTCGATACCGAGAAGGACCTTAAGGACACTGTCGCAAACTTGGAAAAGCTACGATCTGTCAGAGGATCTTATGACACGTATGAGCGGCTGACTGCCGAACTGCCTACTCTTCGAGAAGAGTGCAAGGTTGCCGAAGCAGAGTTTGATGCCCTTGAGAGACAAGTGGAAGAACAAGGGTCTGTCGTGTCAGCTGAGGAAGAGAAGCAGAAAGACTTAGAAGATATGTCAAAGACGGTTCTCAACATTGCACAAACTGTCAAGGATATTGCAGAGTCTGAGAATCAGGTTGACCGTATCATGTCTCAGCAAATGTCAGGTGGGGCCACTCGAAGTCCCGACGAGATTCATGAGCTTCAGGCTGGCCTATCTGACCAGATGAGGAACCTGAAGAATCGCATCTCGAAGTTGACTACGGATCGTCAGCGTACGAAAGACCAGCTCAACTCTCTTGAGCTTGAAAAGAGCGAGTTGCGAAACAAGATTAGCCGGGCAGCGGGTCAATTGGACAAAAAGCAGGACCTCCAGAATCAGATCCAGGCACTGAAAGAAGAGGCCTCACATCAACGAGACGTCATCCAGCGCGCTGACGAGGAGTTGGAGACCATTGAGCCCAGCATTGCTGAAGCAAGGTCTGCTCGTGATGAAGTCCTAAGACGCGGCCGGGCCAAGGAGCAAGTCATTGCTGACGCCCGTGATGCTGTCGCCAATTCTGTCAACGAGATGAAAATGATGGATGCTGATATTCAAGACTATATCGATCGGGGCGGCCCCTCTAATCTTGCATCCAATCAACGATCCATTGCCACACTTGAGAAGACAATTGCAAGTACTGAAAAGGAGGTCACAGACCTTACTGTTCGTACGAACAAGCTCAAGCAGGACATTGACAATGGAGACCGTAAGAAGAAAAACATCAAGGACAACCTGAACTACCGCAAGAACCTTCGCACGATCGACGTTATCCGCCAAGAGATCGCTGAGCTGGAAGCCCGCAATGCAGATGAAGACTACGAGCGCCTCCAGGCTGAAGCTCGCATGCAAGAGAACCACTATAACCGCCTTCTTGCTGAGCGAGGCTCCGTTATGGGATCTATGAAAACTAAAGATGAAGAGCTTGGGAGGCTCCTTCAAGAGTGGGAAATGGACTATAAGGACGCCAAGAGAAAGTATCGTGAGTCGCACATTCGCGTGGAAACGACCAAGGCTGCTATTGAAGATTTGGCGCAGTGCAGCTCAGCCGTGGACAAAGCTGTGATGCAGTTTCACTCCATGAAGATGGCCGAAGTGAATCGCATTGCTGGTGAATTGTGGCAGAGCACCTACCAAGGAACCGACATTGACACTATTCTCATCCGCTCAGACAACGAGTCAAACACAGGCAAACGCAGCTACAACTACCGACTCTGCATGGTGAAGCAAGACACGGAGATGGACATGCGTGGTCGATGTTCTGCTGGACAAAAGGTTCTCGCGTCTATCATCATTCGCCTAGCTCTGGCTGAATCTTTTGGTGTCAACTGTGGCCTCATCGCACTCGATGAGCCCACCACAAACCTGGATCGCGACAATATCAAGAGTCTGGCGGAGAGTCTCCATATGATAATCAAAGCCCGACAGGCCCAGAGCAATTTCCAGCTCATTGTGATTACTCATGACGAGGACTTTTTGCGACATATGAGGTGT